GCAAATCTCTCTCTATAATTAATTTTGTATTATTTGTGAAGAGAGATTCATTGGTTGAAAACTTTGGCACATTAATCTTCACTATTGCATTAGTTATCATTCATCAAAGTTTTGCAACAAACACTCGAGCTTAAATATTTGCTATTGATTGAAGTGTTTTCCTAAACTCTCTAAACACTTGATTTGGTTATATCATTTGTCAAGAGAGTTATTTCAAATTGTAAAATTATTATTTATATTTCGGTGGTTTCGAGAACCTTGTGAAAACTCGATTGTTGTTAAGGATAAGTGCTCCTTGTTGTAAGTCACCTAAGGATAAGTGCTCTTTGTTATAAGTTACTTAAGGATCAGTACTCCTTGTTTGTAAGTTACCATTATAGTGTATTTGACCTTGCTCGTGACGGAGAGCTCGATAACGGGGGACGTAGATCATTGCTTTGGATCGAACCTCCATAACATATTGTTTGCATTCTCTATCTCTTTTACTTAACGCATTTATTTGGCTTTAATTTATATCGCTCTATTTACGCATTAACTTGTGTTTAGAATATTTGGGCATTCACTATATTAGAATATTGAGGATTAACGAAAAAGTTTCAATAACCAATTCACCCCCCTCTTGGTTAGTTATTCTTGGGCTAACAAAATATAGTCGTTAGGCCTCACAAGAGATAAAAATTCAAAATTGATGGTTTGATGTGATGGATAACAGTCATATTTTTCATTTTTATGGATGAAAAATGAGAAACAAACGGAGGTATAATATGTTCTCTATTTATAGAATCAATACTTCAAAATAAACTCAAAAAACTTTTTATTCTAACTTTTTAAAACATGTATCGCTACTTTTACTTTATAATGATTGTATTTAATAAGTTGTATATTTCAATTATTTATTTCTTAAATTGTTCAAATATTATTTGAACTGATTGGCCAATAACATAAAAAAATATTAAGCTCTTGTTTGAGTCTCATTTTTTTTAAAATGCATTTTCAACCACACCTTCTCCATAAATGAATTATACACATATTTTTTTAAAAAAAATCTACTTTTTAAGCAAGCAATCTTTAAAAAATCACTATTTCATAATGCTTTTTACCCAAAAATGGAAATTAATCTGGGGCTAAATAATATATAGGGAGAAATCAATAAATATTTATTGGAAAAAAAAACATAAAGAACCAAAATAAAGAGCATTGTTGGAGTGTAAATAAAATTCTACTCTCTAATATGTGAGATGTTATTTATAAATAAAAATAGAGAGCATATGTTAACTTCTAAATTTTTAATTACTTTAAGACTATTTGTTGAATTAAAACTCTAGAGTGAAAAGAAATTTATAAATAATAAAAAATAAAGAAACCATTCTTTAAATCAAACTTCAAAGCTACGTGTGCTGAAGAATAATTATATTCAAATCGAATTCAAAGCTAAGTAAGCTGACGAATAATATTCAAATCGATTGGGTAGTGACCTTTAACATCCTTCCAAACAAAAATCGGCAGGGATAATTGCAGCAGTGGTACCAACATTTCATTTAATAGCAGACTTTATTCAAACCTTTCATTTGTGTCATCTACGGTACCAAACCTTTCAAAATATCGTATTTGAAGTTCAAATGGGTGGTTTCTATTAGTTTGATCGTTAATTGACCAAATAATTGATTTTGACAATAATTTTGACTGATTTTAAAATGTTAAAATGATAATTTTACATCTTTTAATAATAAAATAATCAAAATCAAATAATTAAAATTAAAAACTCATTTCACCTTCTTCTCCATCCACCCCGACCGTGATGAAGACCCAAAAACTAGCAGGAACTTCGTGGGAAAGTGTGTTGTGCATGAACCTTTCACGCAATAACCTATGGCATTCTGCTAGAGCTACCAAAATTTGGCTGGAAAATGAATTTTCAATCATTAAAACCTCTTTAAGAGCACCCTTTAAAACAATTCTCAGGCATTTCGCGTGAAACCCTTTCGTTGAAACATCAATTCATCATAAATGCGAGTTTTTTTTCCAAGATTTGAGGGTAATGTATGAGTTAACTAATTCTGAAAGAGCTTTGACTCATATAAATTAGGCGAATTGGCAATGCTTTATGGTAATTCATCTTGGAATTTGTTCTCGTACAAGTTGAGTGACCCGGTGGCAAGTCGCACAGCTTGGCCGAGATCAAACCACTTAAATTGGTCATTGACGCATCTAGCAACCTCAAGGCTGCCATGTTTGACCCAGTACTCGGAAGCTCGCCGATCAATGAATTGTTGTAGAGCTCAATCTGTATCGCTCTTGTCAACTTTGTGAGTGAACTCGGGATTCCGCCCGTTAACGTGTTGAGAGCCATATCCAAGTCGGTTAGCGTCCGAAGTTGACCCAATGGCTTTGGGATTCCACCCAGCATATTAGTCCGCGTCAACCATAGTACCTCGAGATTCGTGAGATTTCCAAATTCTGACGGGATCCGACATAGTGAAAACCTGTGTGTACGAGAGATTCAACTGTTTCAGAGTCAAAATGTTCCCCAAAACTGGCAATGGAAGAGAAGGAGAATGTGGGGTGGATGGAAAAGAAGAAGAAGAAGGTGGAATAAGTTTTTAATTTTAATTATTTGATTTTGACTATTTTATTATTAAAAAATGTAAGATTATCATTTTAACATTTTAAAATCAATCAAAATTATTGTCAAAGTCAATTATTTGATCAACTAACCGTCAAACTATCAATTTGGGTTTCAACTGTGATATTTTGAAAGGTTTGGTATAGTGGATGATACAAATGAAAGATTTTGTATCGTATGTTGTACAAATGAAAGGTTTGAGCAAAATATATTACTAAATGAAAGATTTGATACTGCTGCTGCAATTATCCCAAAATGAAACGTAATAGTTAGGTCAACAAACTGACAAAGAAGAAATCGGGCTGACACAGCACTTTTTGTCCATATGCACCTGGCCCGATCCACGTGCCTGCATAATATCTTCCATTTTTTTTTTTCTCTTGGGCTCTGTCGACGGCAATAATTGCTAATTTCTCTATTCTCTATTCTCAAATCTCAACTTTCTCTTTCATTCTGTTTGGGAAAGATTGCAGATTTAATCCCTAACCTATCAACAAATTCGTAGATTTAAATCCAATATATGTTTATTGACAGCGTAATCAGTGCCGGAGTCAGGACTAATTAATTGATGAATGATCTAACTACGATTTTATTTTTTTCAAGGTAAAATATTATAAATATTAAAAAGTAAAAAGTAAAAATATTGAAAAGTCATAAAAATTATTTTTTCTCAAATTTCAATGGGGTTGGTCATTGAGCTTAGTAATTAACTTGAAGATGGTTTGACAGAGATTTTGATACAATTTTTAATAGAATTTAATAAAAATTGATGAAATATTTAATGGAAAAGTTAATAAAAGTTGTGAATTTCATAAAATGTGTTATTAAAATTGAAATTAATAACTTAAAAAGGTCGATAAATTTTTTTTAGCAAAGTCAAATCAAACTATCAAAGAAGCACTTACTAATTTCGATACGAAATCTTATCTAGCCATTAAAAAGTCAATTTTTGTCAAGAAGATTATTTTATCCATATTTTAATTAAATTTGATAAAAATAAAGACAAGAAAAAGGATAACGGATAAAATCCTTTTTATCTTCCCCAACCACATTTCACCCCTATCCGTCCCCATGGTTCGAAGCCTATTATCAATTTACCACTACCGTCGATGCAACACTCACAAAGTGCAACATGTGTTGACTCGCTCGACACTTCGACAGATCAGTGAAGGGTAAGAATGGAAAAAAAAAGTTCTTCGGCTCGGGCTCGGTTCCAGGCCGAGCCCATTTTGGGGGGTCGGCCTGTAATTAATAAAAAAATTAAATATAAAAAAAATAAAAAATGAGCAGGCTAGGCTCGGCCCACTAAGGCCCAAGCCAAAGCTCGGGCCGAGCCTTATTTTTTTGGTCGGGCTCGACTCGATTCAGCTCAGGTTCGACTTGACTCTGCTCGTTGATATAGCTAGTGGATAGAGCTCTTGAACCCTTGCCAATTTGGGGCACATCCCACAGTTTACCTGATTTGCGTCTTGAGAGATCAAGGCGTAGACCTCAGGATTAGTCACCATAGGTGGACACCTAGGTATTAAAAAAAAAAAAAAGAATAATCAAGGAACAAGAAGATTTTTTATGGCCTCACATCGCAAGTTGATAGTGTTATTCGACGTATCAAAACACATGTGTACAAAGTGATGTTTTCTTTGTATCCTAATGTTTTGATTTGATACGAGTCATTGACAATGAGTTGATGTAATTTCTCTTATGTCGAATTCTCTTTGTTTGATTATTTGGCTTTGTCTACAGTTGTGATATTTCTATTATAACTTCATAGATTCACTCGAGTATGTTTGGAGTATTTGTATATGACGTTTGATCAATATAATTCATTTTACCGATAAAAAATAAAGAATGTTCAATAACTCGCTCAAAGAAGGGCATAAAATAACTCCCACAAAGGACAAGGATTTAAAGACACATACACAAACCATTTCAGGTTTACTTAACCATTTTTTTCAATTAAAAAAAGCCTAAACAATCGGACGAGAGGAACGACCAACTCTTTGTTGCTTATCTGCAATTTTTTAAACTTGATAAGATATTTTTATATTCATCTTATAACTCAGGGATGTCTATGAAATTTGCTCGAATAAACTTTTTTATTAGTAATATTTACGAAAGAATATAAGACAATAGAGTTCCAACTGCCAAGGACAAAGGAAAGAACTGGTTTGGCAAATTACATCAGCCACAGACAGAGTCAGATGCAAACTCAAGCAAAGGCAGATGGATATGGTATGAAACTATAAATTGCAAAGCCGTTAAACCGTTGACCTAACCCCCGACCACCCTCGTTAAAATCTGCCCACCGCCTGACTGTTACAACAAACTCTTACCCAACATTCTTCTACTTTTTTGCGTTTTTTCTTTATATATTCCGATGGCCGGCGGAGGAGGAAACCCGCCACCAGAGATTCATGTAAGAGTCCACTCCCGGCGGGGCTTCAACATGATTCATCCAGTGGAGATTGAATCGCCACCACCCACCGTCGCCGGAGCCGCTCCTGCTGCTAACGAAAGTCCAAACGCCGCTATGTATAGAGAAGTAAAGCATTTTAAGAAATGGTTCCCTTGGTTGGTACCTTCGTTTGTTTTGGCTAATGTAGTGATGTTTATTATCACTATGTCGGTTAATAATTGCCCAAAAAATTCTGTTTCTTGTGTCGCTGGTTTTTTGGGGAGGTTCTCATTTCAGCCTTTCAAAGAAAATCCCCTCCTCGGTCCATCTTCTACTGCGTAAGACCCTCAATCTTCGGCACCTATATCGAGTTTTTGTGTTTTTCCCGCTGTCTAGATTTTTCAATTTGTTTGTTTTGGAAAAATGAGTGTTTTGGTGCATTCCACTATTAATATTTCTGGTAGAAGTGGTTAGATTGATCGAATTGGCCTCTAAAGTTTCAGTTGAATAGAATGAAGAGACAAATAATTATGCAATTGGATGGAAAACGTAGATAGTCGGAAAAAGTTTAGTTGAAGTGGTGATGGTTTGCAAGTCCCTTATTGTTCTAGTTATTACATCCAATTTAGAAGACGTGATCTAATTAGCTGGAGGGCAGGGTGTAATCAGTAATGACCAAATCTGTCTACATGAGCCTATAATTGGTTGCATCGTGAATAAATATTTGATCAGTCGAGGTTTCAATTGATAGTTTAGGAAAAGTTATTTTCATGTTTTTTCTCATTACACACGCAAATAGCATACAGAGAGGGTTGATATGTACCATAAACTTTGATGCAAGTACGGCTATGAAAAACTCTCATTGTTGCACCATGTATATCAGTATATGTTGCTCCTGAAAAGCGAAATAGAGGAAAATGTAATATAAGAAGTTAGTGTATCAATCCGGCTAGCCATCCACTTCAGTCCTTAATCTGAAAATGGACGAGAAGAGTGGTGCTGTCAGTATGTCTCTTGAGCATACTAGATTTAGTCTCCGAAAAACTTTCTTTCCCAGCTATTATTTTCTGTATGTTATCACTGATGTATATATTTCCACGTCTTTTGTGTGCACAATTGTTTGATCAATAAAGTAGTGACAATACTGACAAGAAGTTATCTGCATATGTTGATAACTAGATAGTTGAGTTCACTGTCCTTAACTCCACCTCCATTTTTCTGACAACATTCAGTCCTTGAATTTGATAATTATTGTGTTTATATGGCTTCACCTTTCTCATATTTAAGGTCTACAATGTTATTTTGTTTATTACACATAGATTAGCATATGATCTTTGAACATCTGATCTCTCTTTGTGGTGATAATGGTTTCACCACCATAGAGAGGTATTAACTATAGCTACGAGTTTAATATTTTATTTCCTCGTACATGAGATAAGCCGCGAGCCTGCAATCTTAACTTTCTAATAGTACATGATGAATCTAATGTTGTAATTGTATCTAAAACACCCTACACTTTTCTTTAGGTTAGAGAAGATGGGTGCTTTAGACGTGGGTAAAGTGGTCCACAAACACCAAGGATGGCGCCTTATAACTTGTATGTGGTTGCATGGTGGAGTTTTTCACTTGCTGGCGAACATGTTGAGTCTGTTAGTCATTGGCATTCGGCTTGAGCAGGAGTTTGGATTTGGTATGTAACTGTACGCACCATGATGACATTGATTATTGTCGTGCTCATTGTTTTAACATTAGTTATTGTAACAATCAATTACAATTTGCATCATACTTGACGAAAAATTTCTTCTGCTGTACGAATTGGTGCACACTATTTTATGAAAAACATGCCTATGGAAGTGGTTGAGAGCCTGTCCTGACTCTTAAAAAATAATATCTGGTATAATAGTATTACTTTGTGTGTGCAAATAAGTTGCCCTTTGCATAGCTTTTATAGTTTGCTGGCCTGATTTTAGCAGTTTAGAATACCAAAACTGGCATGAGGCATTGCTTATATGATTACTAAAGCATATTGGGTTCTTAACATTAATTATGCACTTGATTGTCTTGAAATTCGTGAAGAGTTATTACTGTGGTCCTATATGAAGCTTGATGATTAGATCACTTATTGGTTGATTTTAAATTTCTCAATTGATGCATGCACATGCTTGAACGCTTGCATATATATGTATGTATGTATGTAGTGTGTGCTTGCACGTGTGTGTTATATACGGATACATTCAGTTTGCTGATGTGGGTATTTTGGGTATTTTGATATAGTGCTGGGCATTAGGATTCAGATAGTACTATGTTAATTTTTACGGACTAGCATCTTTTGATTGACTTGTGTTCTATTTTTTCTATACGATATAGCCTGCTTCTACATCCATGTAGGTTTAACGCTTCCTTTTTCTTTTCTTTTCATTTCTTTTTTTTTGCTCGTCGTAAAAAAAGAGAAAATGTCCGAGTTTATTTCACAGTCGAATTTATTGATTTTGTTACTTATTGTTTTATGTGCCTTACTTTTTGTAGTACGCATTGGGTTGCTTTATCTCATTTCTGGACTTGGTGGGAGTTTGTTATCTGCCCTCTTTATTCAGTCAAATATATCCGTCGGTGCTTCCGGTGCACTTTTTGGTTTACTCGGGGGAATGCTTTCAGAACTCATAACTAATTGGACTATATATGCCAACAAGGTAATTTCCCAACTACAATTGGATGATGCTTTCATGAAGCAGTGAAATTCATATTACTTACATTTTCCAGCTTAAATATTGTGCTACGTATATTCTGTTTTTTTAGGTAGCAGCAATGGTGACCCTTGTGATAATTATTGCTATCAATCTATCAGTAGGCATCCTACCACACGTGGACAACTTTGCTCATCTCGGAGGATTTTTATCTGGTTTTCTTCTCGGGTTTGTATTTCTAATCCGCCCGCAGTTTGGATGGGTTTACCAGCGATATGCTCCTGGATATTCTTTGACATCAGCTAAACCTAAATTTAAGACATATCAGTGCATATTGTGGATCCTCTCGTTGATCCTTCTGATTGTAGGGTGAGCCTCAGAGAATTTTAGCTGTGTTTTTATGTCATTTCACTCTCCAGTGGACTTCATTACACGTGTTCTGGCAGAATGGTTGTTCCGACTTAAAAGTATGAATTTTGACAGGTTCACTGTTGGCCTGGTTATGCTTCTCCATGGAGTTGATTTGAATGATCACTGTTCGTGGTGTCATTATCTGAGTTGCGTACCTACTAAAAGGTGGAGCTGCAACACGCAGCCCGCCTCTTGTCAGGTGAGGAATTGTGAAGTCCCTTTCTCATTATACGCATCTCAGTATTGCTCTCATATCAGGTTCACACCTAAGTGTTTATTTCACGTTCGCTAGGGAAGGAACCATAGTAAACAAGATTTATGCTTTTTTTTTAGGCACTAATACTGTTTATCACCATCCAATCCACCCTACAAAACGTACAGTGAATTAAATAGCATGGACTTGAAGTAAATAATTTATATTCGTGCAAGCAGCGTATATAATTCTATTGCTTTAAATTTTTTATTTGTGTTTTGTTAAGAGGATTGCAAATTTTCTCGTATGAGACGGTTCAAGTTGACTTGGCAAAAAAATTGGATTATCAGAAGTATTCAATGAAGGAAGGAGATTATATCCTATATGATTTGTTGAAGGCAAACTACATTTTCGATAAAGCGTGATAAAAATCTATTTCTATAGTGAATAAGATCACATTGGTTGAAGGTTGAAATCATTTCTTAACAAGTTTCTTTATTTTATTTCCCTCTAGTAGCGTTGTTAGCTTGCGAGCTGGTTCGCGCTAGTTTTTTGTTGCGCGACTCGTGCCCACAGGTTGCCTCGGGCGCGAGCTTGTGAGCTACCCCCTTGGCAGAATTTTGACTAAAACAGATATCCTATAAATCATGTCTTGTTATATTTGCACGATCTAATTCGGGTCTGTCAATTTTGCAGTCTGTGCAAACGGGGAACCAATATACGCTAACATGCTCGAGTAATGGGAAAAGCAAGACGTATTCCTTGCTAAATCCGACTGCAAGGCAGATTCAGGGGCTATGTGCACAGCTCTGTTGATGATGAACAAGATTGTATCAATTGAATGTAGTATATTCCAGTTTGATATACACATATATAGATTGAACATTTGCTAGTTTCTTCTTTAATTTTGGCTATTATGTGAAATCATAGCTCATTGGTTTGTTTTAAGTTGGTACAATTTATATAAAGAGATGATTTACTGAATAAAATATAAATTTATTTCGTCCATCTCTGTTGGAATTTTTTTGGCTGGCTTCTTCTGATGTGAGTTTAGACCAACTAATTCCGTTATCCTCAATTTAAGAATTCTCTTTCATCAACATCATCTTTTTTTTTTTTTTTTTTCATTTTTTTAAAAGAAAATTACAAGAAGTTTGTAATTGTCCTTAATTTACTCTGCATTACATTTCTTTTAGTTGGGCTCAACTGCCATAAATATGAAAGTTGGAGACTCAACTGCTTCGAATGATTAGTTGGGGACTCGAGTGCTCCATTGTGTGAAGAATACTATACAGCGCGAGTTTTGGTGAGTTACCTAGGCCTTGTATGTGAGGGATTTTGCACTTGGAAAAATTAAAGATGATAATGAATTTCATTGCTAGAAATTTAGGCCTTGTATGGGAGGGATTTAAATCGGATTAAAATTGAAAATATAGCCGTTATTGTTGACTTTTATTAGACGGGTGGGGCCCAATAACGGTCATATTTTCAATTTTAATTGGATTTTAATCACTCCCGAACAGGGCCCTAGACTTTTTCAATGGATTAAAGATTCATCTAGGTTTATTGGATAATTTAAGTGCCTCTTTGAGCCCCATTTTTATTCTAAGCATTTTGTTTGGCCCTCATTATTTGAAATTTTAATGATTGGAATAATTTGTTTTTTCTATAATGTGTGGTTAAAAATTGAAATTACATTTAATATTATTTTATTGAAAAATGTGTAGCTGATAAGAAGAGAGACAAAAATGAATTATGATTTTAATGGAGGCCAAACAGGGGATAAGAATGCATTTTAAAATAGTAGATTGATGAGAATGTATGGTTAAAAAATAAGGAAAGATTTCGAGTTTGCGGGTAATATTATTTTAATGAAAAATGTATGATTGAAAAGAAGATAAATAATGAGGATCAAACAATAATTTAAGTGTCCGTTTGAGCCCCATTTTTATTCTAATAATGCATTTTAAAATAGTAGATTGATGAGAATGTGTAGTTAAAAAATAAGAAAGAATATTGGGTTTGCGTGTGATATTATTTTATTGAAAAATGTATAATTGAAAAAAAAAAAGAAAAATGTATTTTGAAAATAATAAGGATTTGTTTGATATGACTTTTGAAAAGTCCATTTTTTCTGAGATAAAAACATTGCTTTTGTACATATTTGAATAATATTTTGAAAATGTTTTATTTGACTAGAAAAGCTTCTAGATGAAATTGGCTTAAGGTAATTTTATCAAGAAACTCTTTTACAAAAAATAGAAGTAAAAGCAAAAAATTCTATCAGATGGTCTTAAGTAGCGTCTTTTATTATATAAATTGGTGTTAAATAGCATTACTCGTTTATGACCCATTGAAAGATAGAAAAGGGTCTTTCTGTAATTTCGAAGGCAATATATCTCTAGCAGATCTCCCCTAAACTGTCCAAAAAATCCTAATAGAGAGAGAGAGAGAGAGAGAGAGAGAGAGAGAGAGAGATTGCTAAGCTCTTAACTGGTGTAGATCAATATTTAGAGTTTGTTTGGTAACACTAAAAATTCAATTAAAATTGAAAATATAGTCATTATTGGATCCCACCCGTCTAATAAAAGTCAACAATAACGGCTAGTTTTTCAATTTTAATCCGATTTTAATATCTACCAAACACACTCTTAATAAAAAATTTGAAGTCAAAGTTAATTATCCAATTTTAAAAGTTAACGATCCAATTTTAATCACATTTCATGAGATTCATAATTTTTCAATCGCAAATTTTATCATTTTTTATCACAATCTATTAAATTTTTAATTTTAATTTACATTAAATATGGACTAAATAAATATGAAAAAAAATTAATAAATGTTTCTTGAAAAAAAAAAAAGAAAAGCTAAAATAAAAATATTATTGAATTGTATTTGTAACATTGCTGCTTTATCCGAGTCCCGGACTTTCACCCATTCCATTTTGTGAGCAGCAGTTGCAAAATATCTTTTTTTTTTTTTCTTAATTTATCGTCGCGCCATGTTTGATAGAAATTAAAATTAGCCTCTGTTTTGGCTCCACTAAAATGAAATTTTGGAAAAAGAAATATTTTTTAAAATAGTGATTTTTTGAAGAATGTGCGGTTAAACAATCTCCAAAAAAATCTTTTTTTAAAGAACATATTCTACAATTTAGAGAGCATATATAAATTTAGATTTTATAAATTTTTAAGTACTTTAACAGACTCTATATTTAACACTTAATTTTATTATCTTTTTCACCCTGAAGATCGAATTGTGTATTTACATTGATTTGACCTACTTTCTGCCTCTGAGTCGCGTGCCTTTTTAATCGAAAAAACTTTTTGCACAATTCACGCGTTTTTATGTTTATGACCAAAAAATGTTTTTTGATTTTTATTTCAAATTGTTCTTTGGACTTTTTATCAATATGAGGTGACTGTGACGAAGTATTTCAAAAAATATTTATTGTTTTTCTTATCTTTTATTTTTATTATTTTTCCTTTAAATTATTATATTGTTTTCTTTTATTGAAAATTGAAATATTTCGATTGGAGAGCCAAACTCATTCTTTAAAATAATAAAGTAACTTATATTTAAAGAGTCTCCTTGACATGCTCTCAAAGACTCAAACAAAAATTACTGATTATCTTAATTTTTCTGAAAAAATAGTTCGATGTTCAGAAAGTGTTTTTTGGGTGATTACTGATTATGTCATATTTTACAACCTAACAGACTTGAAAACGGTCAATAAGTGGACTAAAACAGCCACGTCAAAAATCTCCATTTCTCTGCCAATCTCTAGTAAATGGCCAAGATGGGAAGCAAGTTATCCCTTAAGTTTAATCATCCACCTAATGCAGAAAATCGTAGGATTAATCGAACAACGAAATCATTGGTTTTGCCGAAAAGTTTCTTTAAAAAAAAAGGAAGAGAAGAAGAAGAAGAAACAATAATATATGACTTCAGAAAGTCGATTCTGCTTTACGTTTTCTACTACTATGCAGGAAATGGTGATTTTGGCCTCCTGCAACCTGATGAATGTTCCTGGTACTGTGTGTTGGTCATAGAACTATTTGGTGGTATTCACATAATTAGATAAAAATAAAGCAGACAGAACCTGCTGATGATGCTTGCAGTATCCGATAAGTAGCAGTTAGACTGAATCGGTGTCAAAATTAGATTGTAGATCGGTAGAAAATCTAATCTACAACTTTGGCCCTCGGATAAGCTGCCCTCGAAAATAAATGCGAGAAATGAATGCAATGTTGGTGATTTGCATCGACATGCCATCAAAAAGGCTGAATCGGGAAAACAGTCCGCGAGGCAAAATACTAATAGAACAAGTTGATCTTATTTAGGGAGAACTATAATTCCGTTATAAACACATTTCAGTTTCTATATTCAAGGTGATATCTGTACAAATTAATTACACCTCTAGTGACATTTCAAGAATAAGAAGAATACATTGCTCTTTATTCATTCATAACATAAAACAATATCAGGACCACCTGTGCTTCTCCATGATCCTAAGATAGGAAATTCAGGACATTCCTTAAAATGTATGCTTTGGCAGTTGAAGGGGGCGTCTTAAATATTTCTCATAACCTCTGTTTTTAATCAATACACCACCTGAAGATCTTAACCAACTTCAGCACCATTTTCAACCTTCAACAGCTGTTCAAGGAAAACAGGAATGCATAAGAATCACACAGTTCCCGACCCAAAAAACGAGGGAAAAACATGTTTGGGAAGAAAAGCACAATTCAAAGACAAAGGACATCAGCTAGGTCTTTTTCTTTGGGTGAGATTGGGGAGAAGTGAAGTACGAAGTACTATTAATATCATTAGTTGTATTCCCAGTAATATATCAGGAGAAGTTGCAGAAGCAGCATTAATATAAAAACTAGGCAGTGAAGCCATTTAGGAAAATGACAATAAAGGTATAGGCTAATACCATAAAATGCCAGAGTGGGAAATATGTCTCCAAGAAATTACAAAAATGGAGTCTGAACTCCATGTTTATTTAATTTGGTATTCTAGTACATAAACATTTTTGCAATTACGAATTATGGTATTCTTCCTAGTAGGCCAGAGTCTTGTACTAATGCAATTAAATGAAATTTCTGCAAAGTCAATGTTTCGTAGAAAATAAAGAGACATAACTACTCTGGAACAAGCACGAGTAACCACTTGTTGATCTATGCACAAACTAGCTATGCTCTCGAGCTACTTATCTGGGTTGAAGCTTGACGTGCATAAGCAGCAGTACATAATAAGTCATGATGTAACTCAGGAAGAGACTTACATTCACATTCCAAGTCATACCCGTCTTTGACGTGTATAGACGAACTTTGTCACAGGAGGGATTCTTTTGACCGACAAATCCACAGATTTGACCTTTTCTTCGCAGCACTCCTGATCCACATTTAATGTAAAGTCAAGCTGCTTCTCCACGGAATTAAGAACAGAATTTCTTTTGGGTCTTAACTGGTACTGAGGAGATGCATTGAAGGACTTCCCACTGCACAAGTCAATGACACCAGCACAAGCAGGATCTGAATGCAAAATTATGTCTTGCAACTTTGTATCCTCTATTCTACTTGTTTGATTATGCTCATCAGTAGACTGACTTGTTTCCTTAACTGCTTCCTTATCTGGCTTCCAATTTCTACTTAATGGCGTGGATACCTGAGTTTCAGATTTTCTTTTTCGTAATATAGATGGAGTATTTGGAAAGCTTTGGGCAGCGATTTTCAATATAGATTCTGGAGTTCGTGAGGAAAAACTTCCACCTTTCACACTAGGTGGAGTCACTAAGGTCGTAGGCGATATTATGCAACTAACATCTGATTCAGACTGCATACAAGAAACATTTGCAAGATTTGAATCTAGCAAATCATAATTATCTAACTGTGGGGGTTCATAATATAGTGTCCCATATATTGCAGTATCATTATGCATAGATGTTCTTATTGTCCTGCATTTATCAGCTTCACTATGTGTTCCACATTGCTCAAACTTAGATTCTGGGCTTGAATAAATGTTATCTGCTTCTGATGGCATTATCTCACTTTTAGCACCTTCAGAATCAAGAGACTCATTCGGGGGATCACTAGCTGAGGCAACTATATTGTGAATCTTGGGACTGGTCTCTAGTTTATCCTTCCCTTCTTGTATTATATGCGTATCAGTAGCTCCAGACAAAGCTGAGACAGTTGAATCCAATCCCTTCTTTGAGCAAAGAAGTAACTCTCCAGCTGAAGCTGTTCTGTTCATGTCTCTCCAACCATTTTGAGGAACATTTTTAGTAATTGATGGAAGATTTCCAGTAGCCAAATAGAAGTCTAACTTCTTCTTCAAAGAACTATTCCAGTGATTCTTGATAGCATTATCAGTCCTGCAGTGAATAAAGAAAGTTCAAGCTGGAATCATCTAGAAAAAAACTTTACATTTATTAAGCAAGATGTAATAAGTAGGATATAATAAATAGAAAGATTCATTTACGGCCATTACAAGATATTGCCAACTTGAAAGCTGCCTTAGACGTGAACACACATAAAATCCATCTCAAAGAAGCCTTTCCCAACGACTTGATAGAAACTATATTTCTAGAAATTTTCTTTTTCTTGGGGATCTTAATCCTTGGAAACTCGCACATAAAGCATAGTACCTAAGGGGCATAGCTAGGGCTGGGCGTAGGTTGGGTTGAACATGGTCGGTTTGATCTCAAATCAAACCAACCCAACCCAATTATTAGTTTAAACCCAATCCAACCCAAACCGATCAAGCTTGGGTTCGTCGGATTGGGTTTTGGTCCAAATCAAGTTGGATTCGATTATTTTTTGTTGAATTTGAACAATTTTTAAAGTTTGAAATCACTTGAAAATCTCCATTATTTTTAACAGATACAAGGAATTCTTTCTGAAAATTAATTTATAAATAAGTTGAAACTATGTAGCAATTTCTTTTTATAATTTTTTTGAAAGTTATTCATTTCATTATCACGTCCTTAATTTTAGTTTATCGTTAAATTATTTTGCATTTGTATATAGCATTCATACCAATCAGCCTATGTGAAAAAACTGGAACGTTTTTCATTCTTAATCCTTCTCTTGTCTCCACTATTGTGTCTATTTAGATTTTTCCATTTTAGGCATTAAATTTTTTAATTCAATGGGTTGGGTTGGGTTTTAATTCATAACCCGAGACCCAATCCAACTCGACCTCAAATTTGATTTTTCAACCCAGCCCAACCCAATTAAACTTAAAAACCAACCCAAACTTAGGTTGGATTGGTCAATTTGAACGGTTTGGGTTGGTTTTTACCTAGCCCTAGGTATAGCTATTTGGACAAAATTACTTCAGGTGCTAAAAATAACACCCTAAGATTTGGGAATTGAATGCTTAATTTATGGTATCATCCATTAGCATCCCACATCACCTTCAATGCTGTGGAGATGCAATTATGGATTTGGTAAAAATTCCAGAATCCACTGCAACGGATTCAAGAAATTGTCTATTGTGATGTAGATATCTATGTAATTCCTAAAGCTTCAATCCTGAGTCACAAGTACAAAGTTGAGTCAATAGCATCTTCTTCACTCTTTAGAGTCCTGTTATCTAGGTACAACAATGATACTAAGGGTGCGTTTGATTGCAATGGTGGAAAATGGGTGGAAAGAAAATATTTTACAGGGAAAAGATTTGTTTAGAAAATATTTTGTAGGGAAAATGATTTCAAGTGTGTTTGATTAGTATAATTTTCCACCCGGAAAATTTTTAAATTTTCTATTCGTTTGGCTTTGTTTTACATGAAAATTGTTCATTAAAGTGATATTTTTTTCCACAATTGGTTATAAAATTTGTTTCCATTGCGAAAAAGTAAAAAAAAAACGAAAAAAAAAATTGTTTCCTAAAAAATCATTTTTTTATCAAAGTTTAGTATTCGTTTGGCCTTCGTTTGCATCAAAATTGTCCATGAAAGTGAAATTTTTTTTTACACTTAGTCATGAAATTTGTTTCCATTGCAAAAAAAAAAAAAAATGGCAGTCAGACCCAGAATTAATTTTCCCACCTAAAAGGTGGGAAAATCAATTCACCTCACGCAAGGAGTTAGGCGCGTCTAGGGAAAATAAAAGCCAAATTTTCCATGCCAAAATTTGTCCATCAAACACCACAATTCATGAAAAGTTGGAAAATGTTTTCCTTTTCCACCCATTTTCCATGCTATCAAACACTCCCTAATCTTTTATACAAAAGTAAGGTACATGCATATGTTATTTCATTCTGAAAGTTTAAAAAGAGAATATCGTGTAAGCGATAACTATAAAATGCAATCTTGAATAATATTTTGATACTAGAAGTTCCTAGACCAAAGACGATTCAATCCAGAATCCAGGGGGCATGTTTCTTTTTGTGTGGCCCACCAAATATAACCTTTTTTAGTAGAACTATGTAAGTATAAAAGAACAGTACCTTCCAGGCAGAAGCTTAGCTAATTCAGCCCATTTATTGCCATGAATCCTGTGAGCATTCAGCAGAGTAAGTTCCTCCTCCATAGTCCAAGCATCTTTCTTAATATTGGGATTTAAATGATTGTGCCACCTAAATTTTTTAAGAAATACTTAGTGCTTAGTTGAAGAATCAGAAAACATATGAGCTCTTACAAATATGATAAATTGTTCACATGCATATAAATAATGTCAATGTGAGTGTGCAGGAAAAGTAAAGAACATAATTTACCATGTGTTCTTTACATGTAAGTTATAGTGCATGATCAATACACATTATTACTTGGCTACAAAAAGCTAAGTACTTAGCATGCATCAGAGTGACTTAAGTATGTTCAAAGTAAGCATTTGCAATGAAAGCAGATTGAGGGAGGGTTTTCAAGAGTCAAAATTTTGTGGCAAATGCTCAATCCTTTTTGGCTTCATGCGTCTCTGCCTGAAACTATATATATCCCCATATAGTTCTTTGGTACTTCAGATAGAAGCGTGGCAGGATTTTTCCCAATCAAGGCCATTCAATTAATAAAATCTTTTACAGCTCCAAATATTAATCATTTTTTTCCTGTTCCATCCTATACATTGTAACAGCTACCACATCTACTGGAGGAACCAATCTAGTGAACTACTCACAACCTTTTGAGGCTATGTCAATTTTGGTATACTTCTCCTTATTCTAATAGGATAGCAACACTTCCATGAACAAGAGCTTCTTCAGGTCTACACAAAACATGCTCTAACAACCTAAATCAATGGGTGTGACAAAAAAGTATTTATGGCCAGATTGCATCTAAAATATTACCTCTCACGGCATTGTTTCCCAATTCGACCTGGCAATGACTTTGCTATAATAGACCATTTTGTAGGTCCATATTTTGCTACCAGTTCTGTAATTTTCTCATCTTCCTGCAATTAAAGTTAGCAATATGACTTGAAATCACTAACATTATCAGTCAATAAAACATCTTAAACCGTTGTTACAAATATCGATAGAAGAGGAAAACTAACTGTCAACCTCTTGAGTCCAGGGACCTTTAACAAGTTCTGGATTGAGAACCTTTTGCCACCGATGCAAGCACTGCACTTCTGATCTATCTGGAAAAAATTCGGCTGCAGACACATCAATGCAATAAAGCTAAGTTCTTGATCATGATTCCAAAAAAGTATTCAAGTATAACAAGGCCATGAGGGAATTATATAACTATGTCACGAGACATAATGACAATATCAAATGTTGCCTCTTAAGACCGAAGTTTGGAAAAGAATACAGGTTAAATAAACCACACTATATCTCACTTTGAAATGTCACATATTGAAGATTTTAAAAATTTTGGCAAATAGGAGATGTAAATCTCAATCTAAACTTCATTACTATTCATTAAGGTCTCATCCATTTCATGACAGCCTAATCTGTTCACAACAGAACAATTATTGAACTAAATCAAATCTACTCAGTATTAATAACACAGCAAAATATAAAGAATAGCACTATAAGATCATAAAAGAAATTAAGAAAAAATTCACAGACGTCCAATTTAAGGTGCATCATGTGATTGCGAAAGACACCATAGTTAGTAAATTATACCTATTTTCTTCCAACTCTTCCCTCTGAAAGCAGCAACGGCTCTTTTTAATGTACAGTCCTGTAGCAAATTATAAAGAATTTTGTTGATCATGAGTATAGCCAAATGAAAGTGTGATGGTTGTTGACTCCGATATGTCATACTGGAACCAAGGTTCCCCACCCACCCACAGCAAAAGGAAAAAGATCCAAGAGAAAAGAAAAGGAAGGGCAGGATATAACCAACATGATGACAGGAGTATTTTTTCTAAAACCACATGTACATGTAAACTCAAGAAAAAAATAAAAGAAGAGATGAAAAAGTATCTGTTAAAGTTTTACAAATTATTTCACTTAAAAAGAGTCAACCTTAAAATCAATTGTAGACAGGCTTACCCAAAGATCGGCAAAACCATCGCTTCTTAAGTATATATATTTCAGAAAACTAACTTCTTACCTCCTCAGGAGTCCAACCTCCCTTAGCTCTTCTAATTGGGCCAGAAGTTCTCCTATAAAACATATTTATGTCATTGAATCAGACACTCGTAACCTTGAGGCTTTTGAGAAGTCATAAAAATTGGACAAAGCATTTCTAGTGAGTGAAAAAGACAGTCTAATGCTCATGCAAGAGTGCAGGAGATATAAATATAGGAACGGGTTATACTTATACATGTACACTTCATAATGTGAATGGCATATATAGCAGTGTTGTTTATAGTTTCATCTTAATGTATTGACATCCACCTTGGCTGTAGTTTCTTAATATTATTCATTGACATGAAAAATTCTACCACAGCTAAATAAATTTTCAAATTCCACAAGATAAAAAACAAATACAAACATGATATTACAAAGCTCTACTTTTATGTAGTACACCCAACATTCCCCGCTTCTATGATATGCGCAATCAATTGCATAGCAGGTAAATTTAATGATATCAACATAAATGAAAGCCCAGCTAGTCGTTTTTATCAACTTTACATAATCAAATATAGCCCACAATAAATGTTAACAAAATAAAGTACAGCATACATGAAACTATTAATCAAAACAAGCAATCAACTACTTAAAACACTACAGCCAGTTTAATAATAAACTGAAAACAACAACTTAATCCCAATGAAAGATATAGAAACACAAAAGTTTATACAAGCAAGCACAATTAAATAAGCAATAACAAACAATACCTTTGGGATGGTGATGTATTATTGGGACTACTTATCCCGGGTGATTTAAGTGTAACACTACCACTATTTTCCGAAAAAGAAGAGCCCGAAGCAGCTGTAGATTGTTTGTTCTCAAGACAACGCTCCTCTGAGTTCACCTCTGCCATATAATTGCTCCTACTCATCACCGTCAAATCAAAAGTTCCTAATCCAATAAAAAAAACATCAAATTTCAATAAACTTGACGCGTGAAACAAAACCCTCTAATTAACTATAAAAACATAAAATTCTGATAAGCCCAGATCTCAAAATTCAATAATGATCGAGAAAAGGTCCAAATCAGAAAACAAAATTTCAGTTATGGGAGTTAATTAAAACGATTAATAAATGGTTAAATTGATCGAAGAGCAAGTAAAACACATACGGAACACAAATTGAAAAGAAAACGAATATCAATAATTTAAAAGGTGCATTAACTGACTTTCAGAATTAAAAAATAAGCTCAATTGAACATAAAATCCTAATAAATGAAAAATTTCACCCTTAACAGAAAGAAAATTCTTAGTTTCCGCGTCGAGGAAAAAACCTTGCCCGTTGAATATACAAGTATTATTTTGTATATAACGAATACTTATTAGGGGTCAGTGACTGTGCCGTTTACTTGACGTTAAGGTTTGCGTTAGATAATACCGAGTAGAGGGGGCCATTGTGACGGAGATAGACGGTCACACGTTACCGTTAGGACAAAAGTTTGAACCTCAAACGGCACATTTGTCCGCATAACCATTGGTTCAAGGGCTAAGGTTTTTGAGGGGGTGAAAATTCCCGGGTAATTATGGACTGTTGGATTAGAAATACATGGTCAAGATTTAAGCAATTTGTTGTGTGAGTTATCATTTAAGAGAGCGGTGGTGTTATATTAACTTATACCCTCTTCGCTTATTGAAAATCGTTAGGTCATAAATTATAATTTCAAGATCTAAGAAATATGGATAATAGGAACAGAGGCGGATGCAGACAATTAAAGTTGGGGGACACAATCGAACTTGCAAAAAAGTTAGGAGAAATTTTATAATAGAAAATTTACATAAAAAAAAATTATACTCCATGTAATTTTGCATCCAAAATTTACATGAAATATGATTTTTTTCAGATGTAAAATTTTGAAAATTTTTGATATCATATCCCATATAAATTTCATAATAAAATAATACAAATTATATTGAGAAATTTGCATCACAAAAATAATAAATGTTAACGAAATAATTAATTTTTTTTTAAAAATGCGAGTTAGACGCCTCTTTTTAAGACGTACGTTTGACATATCTTTAACTAATTTCGATATCTATTTGAACTATTCGATAGAGGCCTATAATGTAGTCCTTGGAACGAGTTTTGAGATGATATAAGCGATTTGTAGATTTGACTACCGTACGATCGTCGGTGAATTTTTAAAGTTAGCATGTTATCGAAATTCTCGAAATATTAATTTTAAACTGCCTACTTTGACAAGTCGTAACATTTGCTACGATTGGTTGTTTCGCACGCCGTTAATGACATAAAAAATTAGACTGTGAGCACTTCGAAATGGTATTAGGAATGCAATATTTCGATTTCGTTTCACATCTTATAATGATTTCGAAAATTGAAACAAAACATAGAAAATAAAAAATAAAAAAAAAAAACGCAACCCCTGAGTCCGCCAGTGGGGAAGACAATATTAAGGTTACTTTGCTCTTTTGGAGGGAATTAATTTTTCTACTGCCAAAGATTAGGGAAAACCAATAAAGAAAATACGATCCTTTTCCTTACAACTTAAAATATTAAAAATTGGGATGGACCGTTTAATTCAGTTCGATTTCATTTAATGTACAACAAAATATTGTTTCGATAACTTCAAAAAGTGAAAGTACTATCTATTTTTGGCCTTCTGGATTTTTATCTTTAAACAAAAAATTAAGAGAGCCGTTGAGCTCAACATCGGACTGACTAAGTTGTCAACTGATTCCTTACCACCTCTCGATCTGTCCATACCTGCACACTTTGACCCCATTAGTATGCTAAGGCCTTGTTCCAATGAAAGGTATGGCATCGTTAAGCCAACAATCGAAAAATATAATTTAGATGCGAAAGAGATAAATGGACAAAATTTTGGACTAAAATTTAAATATTGCATACATCTATCTACAACCTCCATCGAGTATTTATAGGGAAAATAAAAGGGTGATGCTACATGTACATCTCATGTATTACACAATTCTTTACACCCCCTCACATGGAGGGGGACCCACGATTATTTTATTATGTGTGGACCTCTCTTCATGTGATGGGGGTGTAAAGGATTGTATGAAGAATATGTACACATAGCTTTATTCAAAATAAAATGAATGGCATTCCACACATTTCCTACCTTTTGGACATGTGTTGACCGTTTATTGACATGACTGTTATAACCAAATTAATCTCTTTGATTATGTTTCTTTTTTCTAACGGTATTTATACACGTGACATGATCCACTCGTCACGTGACACTGAAATTATTAAGCTCGTTCTAAGATCTTTCAAAATTAGCATGCAAGCCATGTGTTCCACTACTTAGGACTTTCTCTCTTGCATAGGCGAACCACCTTAATGAATCACTTTCCACAAGTGGTTCGCTTTGGACCTCACACTCATTGGACTCTCGAAGTGATTTCGGCTCCCATAGTCAACCTCTCAACTAGAAGTAAATAGAGTTGTTTATACTACGTTTTGTTGCTCATTTTATGTTTTTAGCATCTATACGTACATTTACCACAACTTACATAATGTAACATGACAATTCTACTCAATGGCAAGTGTACATAGTATTTAACTTAAGAATTTACTTTTCATCAAATTCAGTTGCACAAACTTAATTGTTGACTTTGATTTAAATTAAAATTTGAATTTTAATCGGTACCAAATAGAGACTTAATTTTCACAATTTATTCACGATAACCCGACCCATCAAATAACAAGTTTGCAAGGCCAATCAAGTAACAATTTTGTAAAGCTTAGCTAGTAAGTACATTAATCAATCAGATTCATTCATTTAAATAGTTGAATCATATTAATTTCATTGGTAGTCCCTCCTCACTGTACTTTATGTACTACCCGTCCCACAAACCCTTCTTCAGGTGCCGCTACGACTACAATTGAATGCTATTACGCTAGATACTCGATGCTGTTTAGTTGCATATTTAGAGTGGATTAGAATAGAGATTCTTCCAACTTCGATCTTAGGGATGGGCTTGTACTCTATAACAAATTCTCCCATGTAGATGTCAACTCGTTCTTGAATTGTGAACAAAAAAACACAACAAAGATGATAAAATAAAGAATGAATGGGAGGCGTCGGAGGAAGATATTGACTTAACCCGCTCCTACCTACATTGGGGTACTAGCAGAAAAATTCATACAAAAAAAATACAGATACTCACATGGGGGTGGGTTCCATGTGAATTAAATATTGAAAAAAAAATGGGGTCCACCTATTTGTGTGCATTATGTATGTTTCCCATGTGAATTAAACATTTGCTACGATTGGTTGTTTCAAATGCCGTTAACGACATAAAAAAATAGATCGCGAGCATATTGAAATTGTATTAGGAATGCAATATTTCGATTTCGTTTCACATCTTATAATAATTTCGAAAATTGAAACAAAACATAAAAAATTAAAAGGAAAAAAAAAAAAAAAA